TATTCTCGTTCACTTTGCGTTTACGATCATTGACTTTTTGACTTTGAGGCTCTGCAACTAGCGGTGTCTTTTCAACCGTTTCCTCATGTTTTCCCTCTTCCGCACTTGCAGTAGCCATGTCTTTTGCTCCATCCTTATCACTTTCTTTTTTCTTCTTTTCATTCTCTTTTTCGGGGCCCGAATCATCGTCGGAATCGCTGTCATATAACCATGACTGACGCATCTGCAGAGCCTGCAATTCGGCAGATCTCACCTAAACGGAATTTTAAGCAAAACAAAAACATCTTAGCCCTACATAAAACCAGAGGTAAAACCAAATCCTAACTTCCATAATGCAAAGAAATAGCTGCTCTCCTAAGCTAAGATAGAGGGTATAAAAAGCACGCCTTTGAACCAAAAGATGCCCATTTTAAGATACCTTACTTGAGCCTATTATTCAGATAAGTACTTCTAATCAAGGCGCATTCAAACTTGAGCTCTTCATGAATGCAGTATCGAAAGATCAAGGTAGGAAGTCAATTAAAAAACTAAAGAAGAGGTTGGGAAACACCTTTTTAGCTGCAGATATGGTATCTACAGTTTGCGCACGTGTGCTTGTAGGTGTACTCTTGGAGGCATTTGTAGTAGTGGGAGAGTAAGACTTCAGCGCTGCTTTAGTGACCGTTCCTGAATACGTCGAAACTCGTCCAGATCTGGAAGGCAGCTATGAATTAAGCCTTATGTTATGTCAAATGAGATCTGTAAGGTTCGCTCACTTCTTCGTTGACTTTTCCACCAAGTACTCATCATCGTCATCACATGAGGGGATCTCAGGTTCTGACTCAGATTTGTCATCGACAAGTACTGAAGAGCGACGGCTTCCCTTTTTACTGAAAGACGTTTGTTTGAGAAAACAAAGCAAACATTCATGCTTAAGTCAAGATAAGAGCAAGCCTATTTAAACCCTAGGATTTTCAACCTAACTCTAAACGCCCCCAAAACCTAAATTTCGTAGTAGTTTCATCCAGATTTAGCTGAAAACATATTAGAGAGTATATCTATGTATGAAACTTACACTGACAAGCTTCCTTTCGTTCGATCTCTAGAAGTGTTCGACCTTTTCTGCTGCTTTTCTTGACCTTTTGATTTGCTCTTTGATTTGGGGGTTTTCGACTTCTTTCCTTTCGATTTCGATTTCCTACGCTCTTCGTATTCATTAATAGCCTTTACGGCCAGCGCCAAATTTTCGGAGGGCTCCCAAGAATCGTCCTCTTCACCAAATCCCTTCCAGCGTACCTGAAAACGTATTACGATGATTAAGAGGTAGATAAATGCTCTAATTAAAAAAAAATGGAAGTTGGAGGTTATATAAAGAGTATATAAAGCAGTACTTGAAGGAACATCCGCGACTCAAAATGAAATTGCTGCTGGAGACTAGATAAGTTCTAAAACACAAATTTAAATCTTGAACACCCACCAAGTAAAACAGTCCTTCATCGGTATCATTATGATCTAGAATCTTCTCAACTTCGTAGACTTCTTCAGAGAGACCTTCGCCGCCTGCTGGCTCTTCATCGCTAGATCCTTTAACACGACAAAAA